ATTTAAAATTGAAATTTGAATTCAAATTTTTTTCAGACCAGAATACATAAGTTTGGAACACCGAATGTACTGTGCACTTGTACTAGCGCAGTGGTAAACGAGTATGCTCCACTCACGCACATGCAGGTCGCGAGTTCGACCCTTGCACGCGTGGCTGACCTCGAACACATGACGTGCTGTTGCTGGACAACGATCCTTACCACTAGGACACGAATAAAATTGTGTTTGAGCTAGAGCTATGCGTCATTTAACTAGACATTATGAGTTTAAATTTAAAAAATTCAAAAAGTTCAAAAAAATTTGCTCGAGATACAGAATTATCGTGGCGTACCGGGAAACGCGGTTACCGGGCGGTAACCGAATTTACCTCTCGGTACCCAAAACCATGGGTAGGACACCACTGTGGACGTCGTGACATCTTTGGTTCCCTTGCTTCATCCCCAATACCCTGCTCCTCGGCACTACTCACGTATGTACCACCCTCCATCTACCAGTATTTACTCTTTTGCGTCAATATATTTTGTTTCGAATGTAGTTAAATATAAAGTTCTAGAGAACCAGTAGGAGACTATAGGAGCACTGACCTTTTTGAGCTCTCTCACGAAGAGAGGCATGAAATATTTTCTCTGGGAATGGAGTAAAGTTTGTTTATGTCACATTAGGAACCTCAGGAGCACTGGTAACCAAGGCCCAAGATGGTATGGTGACTAATCAGGCCTACTTGCTCGCTTTGAGCGCGTCTTAGCTATTACTAGCTACGTGCGCAAATTATATCCTTTTTTAGGATCATGCAAATTATATCTTGTCGTGGTGAGGGGGAAGCATACGTCTCGCTCACTGCAACACCAAATGATGCGTCACCTCAAAGAGGTTGTAGTAGCCGGCCAATTAGTTGTAAAAACTTTCTATGTCGCATCATTAGTTTTATTCATTCATGTGTTTATTTCGGTTTTTTTTCCTTTCTATGTCTTTCTTAACTTCTGGTTTACACAAACTTTTTTATAAAAAGAAAAATACATAGAAGTAAAAACTTGTTCACCGCACATTCAAAAATATGTTCATGAAATGTAAATATTTGTAAGCATTCTCCAAAAAGATCATGTCACTCAAAAAATTGTATCAATAAAAATTGCTCACAAGTTTACAGAATATGTTCATGGCTTAAATTATGTCAATAAAAATGTAAAGCATTGCTCATGTAATTTGTAAAAAAAATTGTACCACTCAAAAAAACTATCCATGAATTAAGAAACATTGTGCATTCAAAAATAAGTATCATGACATTTTCAGATATGTTCATGAAATGTAAAAAATTGTTTGGCCAATTTTAGACAAATGGTGATAACAAATAAAATATGCTCCATGCGATTTAAAAAATTTGTAACACATAACAAAATATTACATGTTTTTGAAAATGTTTGTGACATTGTTGAAAAAAATAAATTTTAAAATGTGCACCATGTCTTCAAAAAATGGTCAATGTGCATTTTGCTATTTTTCAATATGTAATTGTATTCATCATATATACATAAAAATTTTAATGTGCATTTAGAAAATTAGGCACAAGTTTGAAAATAAAAAATCAAAAGAAAAATAAGAAACAAAACCAAAACTGTAGAAAAACGAAATTAATAGAAAATAAAAAATAATAAGGTATACATACGAAACCCAAAACAAAAATACAAAAAATAGGCCTAATAGTCCACGTGGGCGAGCCAGGAGCAGGGTTGGGCCTATAGTTGTGCACAAAATTTGGGGCGTCCAAAATTTTTCCATGGGCTTAGTACCGAAATCACTAGTTAAGGAGTACTTATTGCAAAGATCACTCCAACTCCCCAGGTTGTGACAAGTAGGGCACATCCAGCGTGTCACTTGTCGCAACCTGAGAGTTTTTCCTTTTTTCGTAGATTTATTTATTTAAAACGTTTCATCTCTCAAACCATGCGTTCAAATCTCAAACTGCTTTCATCGTTGGATTCCTCGCGTCGAGATATTCAAAACTAGATCATATGTTAATAGATTTTGATGAACTTTTTTCATAAAATAACCGACCAAAAAAATCGGACGAAAAAACCGAATCGGGAATACGGGTTTTTTTCCTTTCCGAAGAGGCACGCCCGTGCCTCTCATGAAATCACAACCGTGCCTCTCGCGGAAGCAAAATCGTGACTCTCATGGAAGGAAAAAAGAAGAGAAAATGTGTTTTTTATGTCCGAGGAAGCACAGCCATGACTCTCGCAAAAGCACAACCGTGCCTCTCGCGGAAGCAAAACCGTGACTCTCGCGAAAGAGAAAAAAATAGAAAACACGTTTTTTTTCGTTTCCGAGAGGCACGGCCGTGACTCTCGCGAAAGCACAACCGTGCCTCCCGCGGAAGCAAAACTGTGACTCTCGCGAAAGAAAAAAAAAACAGAAAACGTGTTTTTCTTTTTGTTTCCGAGAGGCACGGCCGTGACTCTCGCGAAAGTACAACGGTACCTCTCGTGGAAGCAAAACCGTGACTCTCGCGAAAGGAAAAAACTGAAAATGTGTTTTTTCCGTTTCTGAGAGACACGGCCGTGACTCTCGCAAAAGTAAAAAAATGCGTTTTTGCTCGCAAAAAACTTTTTTTCGAAATATTTTTTTGGTCGAAAAGCTAAGAAAAATCGATGAAAAACCAAAACATTGAAAAAAAACGTACAAATAGCCGAAAACGCGTGCGGAAAAAAAATCCAAAGAGAGCGTCCAAAACGCGCACATGGCGAATGGCTGAGAGCGCGCCAAGTGATACTGATCGTTGCCAGGCTCCCGAAGAAGCGCTCGTTAACTGGTGGTTCCCGCCTAATACGTATTTAGATATTCCTGGGCGCTGGGCCTCGCATGGTGTTGGGCCGCAGCCCTTCCGTGTGAGTCGAGGTCGAGCGGCCACTACTCGATCGATCGGAAACGCCCCCCAAAAAAAAAGATCGATCGGAAACGGTATCGATCGCAGCAT